GATCGTGTCTCCCTCTTCAAGACTACTTCCTTGGACCTGTCTCTTCGCTTCTAAGACTTGCATTCTTTAGGGTCCTTTCCTCGTCAACCTGACAAACCCCCTGCTGCTCCCTTTTTAAAGACAGAGGGGTTTATAACATCAATCCTGACGTTTACTTGATTTTGGCTACCCATAGGCGCCTCCACATCATAGCTATAAAGGCAAAAGTCCTTTGAAAACACGAGCATCTCACTGTAATCACCAACTCCCGGACTAGGTTGTACGATGAGTTTATCATGAAGATCTTAGGGTGGTATGTGGGCGTCTGTTACAGCAAATCTCGATTGCTTATGTCCGTCTCGGGTAGTAACGACCTAGACAATCATGTGCAGATGTACTTGCGCCAAACAGGTATTTTGCACCGCCTAGATGGACCGAATAAACTCTAAGTCGTAGAGACTGCAACCGAAATCGTCTTCATTGGCCGCTCAAAGTCTTGTATGACATGACGTCGTACTCTGCCACAACGACGCCCTTCGCTTTCTGTGCAAGCATTCCAACCATAGACCAACAGCCCTGTTGCGCTGTATCTTCCGACCCTTCCTGTAATCGCTTGATTTTCAGATGCCGCCAACAGTATATCAGCACTGGACTTGTCTCGCTCTCTAAGCTTCATTTTTCGTTTGCAAGTCTCTGTGATGGAAATCTGGTCTTTTTCAATGCTATTGCACACATTATCTTTCCCTTTCACTTCAGACCAACACCTTCGTTCTCTTTTCACATCAATGCCGCTTAAGCGATGAGTGAGCAGGTTTTGGTAACTCAGAATGCCTTTTGTGTGACATTTTCTTGGACAGCCAGCCTATACTCAAAAGTTCACCCTCACTGGTCACACAAAGGCCGTGTCTTCATTGAAGTTCAGCGAATGCGGCCAGTGGCTAGCAAGTTCCTGTAAGCCCTCAACGCACTTTTTACCCAACCCTCCCACTTGCAGCTGCCGATAAATTATTGAAGATTTGGAGCTCTCAGGATGGGAAATTTGAGAAGACTATCACTGGCCATAAGCTGGTAAGTGTATACTTCCCTAGGCCCTCAGTGATTTTTCTCTATAGGGCATATCGGATGTCGCCTGGTCCGCAGACTCTCGCTTCCTCTGCAGTGCATCCGATGATAAGACATTAAAGCTCTGGGACTTTGCAACAGGCCAGTGTCTGAAAACTCTGAAGGGCCACAGTAATTATGTCTTTTGCTGCAACTTTAATCCCCAGTCGAACCTCATCGTATCCGGCTCCGTATGTTGCCTTCTTTTACGTTGGTCTAATTTATTGTTTAAAAGTTTGATGAGAGCGTCAAGTTGTGGGACGTTAAGACGGGTAGATGTATCCGGACTCTGCCTGCCCATTCTGACCCAGTTACGGCCGTATGTTTTTTTTTCGATAACTTAACTTTCCCTCCTCCTAAGGTCCATTTTAATAGGGATGGCGCTCTGATTGCATCCTGCAGCTACGACGGTTTGTGGTAAGTTTTCCTCCACAGTTCACCTAATTGGTTCAGCCGAATTTGGGATACGGCCTCAGGTCAATGCTTAAAAACCCTAATTGGTGGGTAAACCTGGGTTTCTTTTAATGTATTCAGACGAGGACAACCCTCCAGTCTCCTTTGTAAAGTTTTCTCCCAACGGAAAGTATATTCTTGCCGCCAATCTGGATAGGTGGGTTGTGATTGTATGTCTTCATGCAGCTGCATCTCTTACAGCACCCTGAAACTGTGGGACTACAGCAAGGGCCGCTGCCTAAAGATGTACAAAGGTCATGTAAATGAGAAGTACTGTATTTTTGCCAACTTCTCGGTAACCGGTGGAAAGGTCAGTTTCGTTTTCCGATTACTCTCCATTCCTTCTCCCCCGGGTAGTGGGTCGTTTCAGGCTCTGAAGATCATAAAATCTACATTTGGGATCTGCAGACAAAAGAAGTCGTGCAAAAACTGGAGGGCCACACAGGTACGTCGTCCACTTTAGTGCTTATGTCCTCTCTTTGTAGATGTTGTCCTGTGTACCGCCTGCCATCCCCACCAGAACATGATTGCATCCGGTTCCCTTGAGGGCGACAAGACTATCCGACTTTGGACGAGTGAAACCTGAATTTGTTTTTACCCTATTCTTGTTTATATGGCATATCGTATTCTTGTAAAGTTTTCAAATAAGAGCTAATTCTTGTCCACTTTGTCACTTCCCAAAGCCCCGGTATGTAATCACGCCCCCAACTTTTTTCTTACGCCTCTGGGATTCTCGTGAGTGCGTCGAGCAATTTCATCGTGTTTTGTTCATCTTCATCTAACTGGGGGCGATCGCAAGTTTCTTGTTAAACTGTCTTTTAGATTAGTCACTGGTGTAACCTATTTCTTATCAGATCGGGAGTGAGGGGAAAAGTTGCCAACCACTACTTCTTGATGTGGAGTAGACGCTTGTCTACCAGGGTCAGCGATCTCAACGTCCAGTACCAGATACACCGTTATTGGCAGTAGCAATCATATTTTGAAGGCCTTTGGGTTTTTCCTTCATTTGCCCGTTCAGTAGCACTTTTTCCGCCCTGCCAAACGAGATCTCTTTGGGTGTGACGACCTACAACCGTCCTGTATAGCCGTAGTATTTTTGTTCAAAATTTCGATTATTGGAGTGCATCGGGAAGGTGTTATATAAGAGTTAGAGAGGTGTGTGACTGAAAAAGCAGAGGAGGCTAAGATTGGCACTCCTAGCTTGCCTTCAGTCGTCTGACAGCTCCCGGCCAGGAGGGTTGTCGGTTCGAACCCGAGGCCCATGGAATGTCGAGCACGCATGCCCTGTCGGCGAGACACTGGCTTGCGCACTGTCGGTTGCGATAGGGTTTTTTAAGTCACACGAGTGTTTTCATCGATTTAGTCTGTAAGGCCGGAGGAGATACATACCACTCTTCATTAAAGTCTCTGGTCTCTAGATCCCACAGGTGTTCAGATAGCAATAAGTAGTCAATATTCAAAGATTCGGTGTGTCTCGCTCGCTATAAGTTACATGCTCTCTTCGCTGTCGTATAAGGCGACTGTCAACTGCCTATGGGCAGGGCCGGGCCTAAACCTCTACGGTGCCAACGAAGGTCGCTGCAAGAAGTGAGCATATTAAGGTGAAACAGGAAACCGAGTCTGTACACTAGTTCCGCATCCAGACACACTGAGCGGTCAATTGATGTCTCTGTTATCCTTTGAGAGTCGAAAATGTACTCCTACAGCTATGCAAAACGCTTAATTCTCAACATTTGACTGGTCTTTTTTATCACATCCCGCTGCGAATAAGATGGCAGCAGTCAGTACCGCAGCGGTCACGAGAACGCAGACCGCGTGTCTACGGGTTCCCTTGGTCTAAGTTTACCACTTTGGAGGCAAAAGGGTGCCCGCGGCATAGGCTGCGCAAGAATCAGAACGATGGCAGCATTTTCCGAAGCTGCTCAGGTAACCGACCAGTTTTTCTCAACGACCAATCACAAAACTGGTGCATTTTAAATGCTATGCCGCATATACGAAAGGTACACAGACCTTGGAGCCACTGATGTGATTACACGCTGATAAGAAATTTCTCAGCGAAAAGCACTAGTGTGATACCAAGTTAATAAAAATTCCAGTCGAAAAAGGAAGTGGTCATAACTTGGCAGAAAGCATACTGACCTAAACGAGGTTCATTCCATATTAAACGCTGGAGTAAGCGGTATGATTATGAGAGCATTCCAAGCATAGGGCGGTGAAAGTTCGTCGTTACCGAAAAAGTCCACCGTGTGCCTGTTGTAAATTGTAATGTTCTCACGAAATAACGAGTTATATCTCACGAGCCCCTAGCCTTAAATGCAGCAAGTAAATCGGAGCAGTGAATAATATAGAGATTTTTGAACGTTAAGAAAACTGACAACAGAATACCACAGCAGAGCACGCTAGCAAGGCGGGTTGTGCAGGTGTCGTTTTTCGTCACATTCAAACAAGCAATGCGGTCAAAGAAAATGGGAATAAATTGTCAAAGGTAAATTAGTCAGGTACCTCACCACATGCCCCGCAGCATGGTGGAGGCGGGGACGGCGACTTGCATGTGAATTAGTTTATAGTGGTGGCAGACTTGCGCCGCATCTACCGCACTCTCTCCTGGGCCTGGTGTCAAGTAGTCATGACCGGAGGCGGAATCGGGTGCACAGGGTTGGCGCGACGTAAACCCACACCTAGGCGCGCCACCACACCACCTGGTCCGCACACAAAGGACCAATATTTCACAAAACGAGAATGGGAGGTGGCGCGGGTCCCAACCGGCGTGAGAGTGCCATAAGGCCACATTAAGAAGGACCCATTGCAGCCTGAGTCTATCTTCAGGGGAGGATCGAGTAATCCCGTCAGTTGGCAGCCTTTTGATACATGACTTCTGGCACACTGTGCTAGCGTTATCCGCGTCAGATTGTTTATAGTTAGGAACAGGTGCCGAAGTTCGGTCTACCTCTCCGCTCTCCCAGACAACAGTCCACTGTCCGAACCGGTCCGGCGCAGTGACTGACAGAGCCACACAGCCCGTCTACGCTTGCCACACACGACCTGACCGTTTTACATCACACGCAAATGGGATGGGCTGCTCGCATCTTTGAGGATGTCACAGAAGTCACATGGGGGGAGCCAAAGAACACGCTTCCCACTTACGTGAGAAGTGTCCATTTTGGGCCTGTAATGAGTACTGTGGGGTGAGTTCGTGTGTGTCGCATGTGATGATGAGGTGTGGGGTGGCAAGGTTTTGTCTGCGGTGGCCCACCGCAGGTCCTCATTGATACACGTGTTTCGAGTGGACCCCCGCCGTGACTGAATATGTGTGGTGGTGGTGCGGGCAGTTGAGGCGGGTGCGGTGTGGGTAAGTTGGAGCTCCAGACAGCCAGCCTCAGTGAGGCGGATTCCCAAGTGGCCGGACAGGCCGAGTAGACAGGATAGGTTGGTAGCTGTTGTGTTGGTGGCAATGTTGATGCTGCTAATTACGATGACGCTGATGAAGGGGAGCTAGCAGAGCTAGATGTGGGCGAGTTGTCGGATATGTAAGTTGTGCTGAGCGCGTCGATATTGGTATGAATTTTGTCGTCATGGACATTCATGTGACCAAATAGGTTCATGCAGTGACCGGATATGCGGAGTCGGTGTGGACAGCTCACTCGGATGCGGCGGGTGTAAGTTGGGGTTCCAGGCACTGATTTGCCGGTCTCACTGCGATGGATTCGCACGTGACCGTCCAAGCCTATGCGTGGTGTGAAGGTCGCAATGTGGACACGTTGGGGCCAAGTCCATACTGCTGGTGATGGGGCGGGGGTGATCGTTGACGGGGAGTCGGGCGTGTCCTCGCCGGCGGCGGCAGTGGAAGAGGTGGTAGTCTCCGTCGCGGGGGTTGTGTAAAGGATGATGGGGGTGATCGACGATGTAATCAGGAGCGTGATCACTGGTGGTGATTGAGATGGTAACTGCCGTGACCGACGTGAGGTTTGATGCAGGGAGGGCGATGGGGACGTTTAAAGAGGCAGTAGGTGGAGTTGTCGGTTTGTTGTGATATGGGGTCCGAAGATGTCGAGCGTGACCGATGCGCGCGCGTGGGCACGTTAGTGGGTGTGTGTGCATTGTGAGTCGGGAGCGCTTGGAACTTGTGAGCCGTTCTTTTGGATTTGGTAGCGGCTATCCAGCTGGTTTTGTAGATTCTCACTCTAGTCTTCACTGTTCTACTCCGGGCCGGTCGATCCCAAGAGAGGTCCTCCAAGGACACCGGGTCGATTTGTAGGTGCTTGACAGGGTTCTTCGAGTGGTGCTTATCGGATCTTTTCTTCTTGCCGGCGACCATCCTCAGCGACAGCACCTTGGAAGTGTTATTTGAATAGGCACCCATTGTCCATCCTTTCGAGGTGGTCGCTTAAACGCAGTCGAGTTTGCCTCAGTAGGGTGAGAATGCAGAGGATTTTGGTTCTTTTAAGGACTTCTGAGTATTGAATCCTATCTTGTCATCTCAACTTCAGTATAATTCGGAGGCAGATGAAGTGAAGGCGGTTGAGGCAACTCGCCTGGTTTTCTTAAACTGTCCAGGTCTTCGCTCCATACAACAGTGTTATCGAGACGACAGTTTTTACATCTGGAATTTGGTCTTAAGATGGCGACCTTGGCGATTCCACGCTGATGCCTACAACCGTCCAAAAGCCTGGCTGGCTTTTGAAATCCGTTCCACAACTTCACTATCCATTTTGGTGCTGCATGGGAATGTACTAGGTGGGGGAGAATTAGGGATATGCAGGAAAACGACAACAATCACACAGCTCCCCAGTTTTCACATTAACCATCCGGGGGCACAAAAACGAAGCTGAATTAGAACACTCTTCGAACGGATTCAGACTCATTTCGGAAACTCTGAGGAGGGAGCACATGAAGTCCGATAATTTCTTGATCAGTTTATCGAGAACATCCAGCCAAAGCCGCTCATAAGTCGACGCTCACAGGTTCGCCTAGGAGGACATGACCAGAAACAGCGCCTGTGGTGCGGCATGGTCTGCCGTACATCCAGGACGTACCAGAGGCGTCTGAGCGCAGTAATGCGTCATTAGGTGTAGATTTTACACAGACTCAAAGCTGCCATACCCAGAAGGGTCACGAAACTCAAGAACCGATCAAATCTCAGTGAGAAATCTCGTGTATTATACCGTATCCAACGCCTAAACTGCCCTTGTAATTACACAGGCCAGACTGAACGCATGTTCGGATAGCACGTGCGCGAACATAAGCTGGCTATGCGACGGTGAGACGGATCATCAGAAGTGGTTCTCCACACCTACGAAACAGATCACGAGTTTGACTTTGCCGCCGGGAAGATAATCGCCCATGCCAGAAGCAAAATAAGTCGCAAGCTGATTGAAGTCTGTGCCTCAGACGAGAACTCAATCAACCGATGTATCGAACTGGTGCCGGCAAAGAGAGCCATGGACAGTCACTTCCGAACTGACGTCACTGATGTTTGATTGCCTCACACTCCCTATAACTATTGCTTTTTCTGTTTCCACTTTTATTTTTGACTCCAGGACGAGTTTGAAATCTCCGGAAATAAAGACGTGGCCCACACGATCGAACAGCCCTCTTCTTTCCTACTCATACATACACCTAGAAGACGAGCATTCGCTTCAGTCCGTGAAAGTGTACTGTTTAAGTAGACGAAATTACTCAATAGTTTTAAATATGGTGTCAGTAATACTGATGTGAAGGTCGTTGTATGCAGTGCTGGGCAACAGCTAGCACATGATCACTATTTTATCTGTTTTAATGGTCAGTCCGGAATGTGCACGGTCGGCTACGAAAGGCCCATGTCTCGTTGCATATCTGCTTCTGTCGTGGTGTTGAGCGCGCAGCTATCCAGCGTTGCGGTCGCTTATGCATTTAGGCTGCCTTCTTCAGTGTCGGAAGAAAGGAGATGTTGGCTAGGAGGAGGCAGTGTTCTGCGCAGGTTCATAGAGGGAGGATGCGTTTTAATTTCTGGAACCGATCTCATGAGGACCCAGCACCCCCTCGCAAGCAGCGTAGTCTATTCCGACGTGGACATTGATGTCACCATGGACAGTCAACTTGTCCGCCTTCGGCACAGTCGCTAAAAAGACCTGCAGGTCCTCGCAGAACTTGTTCTTCACTTCCTCAGTGTTGGTCATTGGGGAGAGATGGTAAATTGTGTTCCCCGAAGAGGTATGCGCAGATTCATGAGACGATCGTTAATGCTCTGGGGAAGGACTGGAAGTCATCCCACGATGTTATTCTGAGTGGCTAATGCGACGCCAACGTATTGTCACTCTGTCTTTGAGTGGCCGCTCAAGAAGAAGGTGCAGTCCGCACCCACCTCCCCCCAGTTAGCCTTATTCGGAAAATCATGTCTCGCTGAAAGCATCGACATCCACATTATGACACGCTAGTTCTCGAGTGACCAGCGACGTTCTCCTTTCCGGCCGGTTGCTCCTCAGATTATCTAAAAGAGTACACACATGACAGGCCGCCAGAGTGAATAGAGCCACTGAAGTAGTCTGGGGTGTGTGGCGGAGGTAATAAGGATTGAAGTTATTTTTCATTATCTTGATTCGACCGTCGGTTGTACATCTGCGAGCCACGGTCTTTTTGCAGATGTCCCTCCTCCCGCGAGGAGCATAGGCAATGCTGTCCCCAAATTTGGTTGCTTAAACAGCCCAGCCTAAGCAGCCTATGAGATTGCATGTTGTCTTTCTCGTAGGATTTTTCGAAATCTGAGGTAGGATAGGGTGGGAATGGAAAGAGAAGCAGAATTGCCGACTGTGCGGACTTATACGACACCGGATACCCCTATCTGGTTCAGCATGCCGGTCGAAGAGGCTACCGCGATGTAGCCGCTAGGCAGAGCCTGGTTTCAATGTGTCACATATGAAAATTGAGTGCTAGTTACCGACCACACGGAACAGCCACTATCTACATAAGGCAAATGGTGCGACCAACCACACCTGTACGGTTTGTCCCTCACCTAGTTGATCATCGGATAGCGTGCGGACCCAAAATCATTTGGTTCTTGTGTGTCAGGCCTTAAAGCCGCTAGTATAACCATAGGCCAGTATGAGTGGCCACCGACAGAACAGTATGATAAGACCAGTCAGCAGAAAGCCTCTGGTATGAGCCGTTTGCCGAACGGAATATGCTTTTAGTAGGAACGCGAGCCCGAGTATCCGGCACAAAACCACAGCGACCACAGCCCAAATTAATTTAACCTACCGAAGTGAAATAAGTAGCAACTATAATGCATTATTGATATTTTGGCAGATTTTGAATAATTCATATTGACCCAATTGTGAAAAACGGCGCCTCGGTGGGATTCGAACCCACGCAGTAAGGGGAAAGGCTTTAGCGCAGCCAACTGCTACTGCATTAAGTATCAGTGGTGATAAGTCGGCCTTGGCACTCTCACATTCTTTCTGCCGGTATAACAATGCGTAAAACGTCGGAACACTGGGCTAGATTCCTACCGGTGTGTTCAAATTACAGGTTAAACACAGAAATTTGGTCTAATTTTCCCCCACACTGGTTGCGGAATCGAGTAATTGATACGACACGCCGACCACGCCATAGCACGCCTAGTCATGCGAGTGGCGTGGGAACGATCTATGTTGATTGTCCCTGAATCATTTATAAGTCATGTAATTCGCATCACTTAAACTTCTTTGTAACCGTTTTGGCCTGATGAAGGGTTGCTGAAAACACGTGTTCGCCAATTTGACTTTTTAATTGATAATAGTCAAATTTTAAACAACAAATATAAAACGATGATGATATTTGACTGTTCTTTCGTCACCAAAAGAGGTCAATGAGCGCAACCTCTAAGTATATCCGTTTTTGTCCAATTTTTTTTAGCTTTCCACGTGGCCACTCATAATTTTAAAAGCAGAACTGGGCTAAGGATATGGCTGACTTATGAGGATTGACTGGCAAGATATGACCATTTCAATCTTCCTAGTCTTCATCGATGTTTGTTCTCTATACTAGTTAGCCCCACGTGCAGCCAGCTTTCAAGGGGGTGATGGTCGCCCTAGAGCGCGCTGACTTTTCGTCTGCATGTTTGGCTACGTCTGTCCTATTCACTGTCTGAGCCCATCGGGAGTTCCCATCGGCTTATGGCTTTCGTAACTGCATGCAGCTGCAGGGTTTGACGATCCGACTGGCGCTGTGTAGGCATTCGTACCAGATGTCCGCCGGGTCTTGTAGGTGTGAGGTAGCCGGATGTACTGGCTAACTCATTTATTAGCTTTCTTCTGCCTCCGAAAGCTACCGGACCGGCTGGAAAGCTCAGAATTTGGTAAATTGAAAATGCCTGGAAAAGAACGGCGGATAAATCGGAAGTAGCAATTCTAACTTCCTTGCGCTTGTCAATAAAACAATCCAGGCATCATCTATGAGTTTTGTGCAGCAGTCAGTTGCGGTAAATTTTAATCCGACAAGCTTACAACTGAGACATCGAACCGGGCACTTCGATGCAGAAAAGAAATCGTACCAGCTAACCCTTGCGTATCGAGCATGTTCGTGGTCAGAACAGTTTTCCTTGAACGAGTACGCAGGATGAAATGACTCTGTCTAGAGACTGGATATGCCTGTACCGGATGCTTTGTGTATTAACAAGTCTTTAGAAAAAAAAATGATGATAGAATTGCATGGACGATAGCATGCTACCTCAATTGTGCAATGCGACTTGCACCCACCTGCTGTCGAGCAGGTTTTGAAGTCGAATTCGCAAACGTTTTAAAGTCTCGACAGCTTCAACATGAAGCATTTTACAAGTAGCGACGAAATTGTCGGCATGGTCAAGTTCCAGCAACTACCTGTTTTTCCCATCACAAGGACTTCAAAACCATTCTCCCTACTAATAGACTCAACGGTTAATCAAATATGTCAGAGGAAATATGTGGACAGGGCAAAGAAGGGCTGGTTTACTAATTGACCGTACTGCTGACCATTCCTAATGTCTAAACAACTTAAAATGCGGATTTAAAAAATTCTTCTGCCCTAAAATAGACTCTGGGAGGGGGAACCTTAGACATTCAGAGAGCATATTAGTAGATGGGATCGAGCGACAGATCTCTGCATGTTGTGCCGGGTGCTCTACCAACTTAGGTTTGGCGGCAGCGCTTAACCTGTCCAGTGAATGGGCCTCTGTCTGATCGATCTTTTTCTCAGACGTGTTTTTTTATTGGCCTCAAAGTAAAGGCAATAACAGTAATGGCAAATTGCCTTCTTAACCGGGCATTACATCAACGGGGGTTGTTTGAGCCGACGTGTGGTTTTTCTTCCTTTGCAGACTGTGAACTTGAGACCGTTACTTTTGCACAACCGAAAGCGGTCTTTTTTCAAATAGAACACGACAGGCAATACCACAGCGCCTCGGCAAACCTCATGGCCTAGTTTTCTGTTGGCTCAAGAGGACGCCGCTTGGTCTTCGACCGCTTTATGCCGCCCGCCAAATTGCTTACGCTGCAGTTAATTAAAAACCGGAAATTTGCGGCTGGGCAGACGGTGCTAATAAAAGTTCAGAGGAAAATGATTTCTAGAATGCTGCTTAAGCCAGCCAATGGAAACGCTTGAATGCGGGCGCGCTCTCGATTCGAGGTTAGGGGAAATTCTCGCATAATATGACTCCCTGAATATTTTTATATTGTAGGAAATTCGTCGTGCGCTGGAAGGGTCTAAACGGGCAGGTCAGTTTCCACCTTTTAAGCTTTGAGATAGATGGAGATACACAGAAAGCGAAAGTTAATAATAATAATTGTAAAGAAGGTGAACAAACGATCTCTGGAATAGTAGGTGTATAAGTCTGAGCTTTCGCACTCGTACAGGAGGCCATCGTCAGAGGCTGTGAGAATGCGACATCAAATGAGCAGTTTTTGTAGTCAAGCCATGAAGGGGGGGTTGATATGAGTGCAGAGGGTGCTATTCGCGATAAGCTGAGTCCCACGCCGTCTCACGGCGGCGTGACTGCGTGCACCCTTGGCTGGAAATTCGGTCTCGCCTCTTGGCCGCGGGAACGGAGCGCGTGATATCAGAGGGGTATTTCAACGTGTCGGTTGATTGAGTAGGCGTCAGACACCCAGGCCTTCAACAGTTCTCACCGTCTTATTGCTGGCCGCGCCACTATTCGCGTGCTCGCGAAGTTGAATTAATGGCCTTCCACCAGGGTATGAGTAGCGACCTGAGACAACGGGTCGCCTCTCCGGACTGCCCGCTTATGCTCCGTTATTCGTGAGCTAAGTCGTCGTCCGGTCTGTCCTGCGTAGTGGTGAGGGCAGTCCCGACATGGGATCTGATAAACGACACCCGATTGTATTTAATGCCAGTTTACAGGCATTGTCAGGGAAAGATTAAGCATAAGTCCGGCCAGCAGTGAGAAAACTCCTGATAAATAAATAGAGGGAATGGTGGTTTTCATAGATGTTTTGTATAATTTGGAGGCTTTAAGAGAAAAAACCTGCTGCCCATGAAATGACGACAGTCAAAAAAGGGATTTGGATCTGATCAGACCCAAAAGATGCAACCACGGCAAATCGCCTCACACGGTAAGATCGTTCAAACCTTGCGCAAACCAAAAAGGGGTGTAGATTAAATAGAAAAAGAAAAATCGGCAATAGAAATGAAACCATGAGTTCCGCCTCTTGTCGACGGCAAACTACAATTTATGTATGTCATCAAGGAGTGACTAGACTGTCCGTGCACGCACGATTACCTACTGCAGCGAATGCCACAATGTGACCTGATAAATGGCCACCTGGGTGGTCGATTAGAAGAAAACAGAGACTGGGAAAAATTGTCTCCGTCAGCTTGGTAAAATAAACTTCGCGGGAAGCTGTGCCCACGGGGTAGGGAAAAAAGAAGTCGATGATAGGCAACAATGCTATGTTCCCTGAAAAAGAAGCAACGGAAAATTTGGGGGACCATTTTGAAAACCGGGCTTAGGAGTTTTGGCTTGGGTGCACAGTTTGAAACGTTGGAAATAGCAGGCGCACAATCGAGGTTGCTATTAAAGTGAAACGTGTGTATTTTAAATAAACGTCTTTGTCTAGTTGTTAAAATTACCTCAATATGTTGTTTTCTTAATTCAACGAAACCTCTTAATGCATCGCTGAAACAAGCAGTGGTCTTTTCCAAAATGACTTTAATTTAAGGAGCACGTCTTAATCACACAGCCTGGTGCTTCTGGCATATGGTCTCATGCTAGTCAAGGTTACTGAAACTTAAACGAGCTGAGGGTCGGATGTACTCCATTCTCAGTTAGCCAATCGAAAATGGCATCCTTCGCCATCGACTTGTTAGGGGCGGGGCAGTCATTATAAACCTTCATATGGATCATGCATTCGCTGCAGTCCTCTTGTAGTGTTTAACACGGTTCTCTAAAGTAGGCACTCGACTACAGTGCAAAAAGATTGCCGTAGCAGTCTGGAAGACCAGCACTCTGTTTGATAATTCATCATCTTTTAGATCAGTGTCAAGTAGAATCAATTACACTAGTCTCAGTCAGTAATTCCGGTACTGTTGTTGCAATACCCGGGCACGTTACTGTCGCGCTGTCCGATGTCTCACGCAGAAAAAGTCCTGCGAGAAGCAGGTGGAAGATCTTCGTTGTAAGAACTGGTATCGTGGGGGCAACTCTGAGAAGTACTCGTCGTGCTGCGTACCAATGTGCGAGATGAATGGTCAGCACCTAACGGCCAACTAAGCAAGTATCGCGCCCGTTGCAATTAGCCGCACAGGAGAGTTCGGCAGTGGGAAACCCAGGCGCAAACGACGTATCAATGGGTGCGCGGAACGATGCATAAATCTCCAATGACTTTGTGCATGTCGCGGATAACTTCTCAATGGTTCCTTTGTTAGGGCACAGGATTATGAACCTCCCATAATGCAGGTAACCTTGCTCCAAATCCCAGGAGAATTAGGACTAGTGTCTGGGTTAGGATGATAAGGGTTAGCGCTAGGATTAAATTTTGGATACGAGAATCGGTGTCTCCCTGGAATATAACTCAAGGCCACCTGTAGTACGGGATGCATATTCCTGTGACCAATGGCTTCTTTATGTCTTGTTGGCATAAAACCGACCAGCGCAGTGAATGGCGCCAGATCAGTGAAAAGCAAATCATTTAAAATTTCAGATTAGTTCATCAGTTTAGGTACGGGAGTATGAACCCAACATATTACAGGTGGCCCTGCCCTAAACTCCTGTATCTAGAGTTGGGGTTAGGAGAGTTTTAGAAAACACATGCAACAGAGGGACCGCATGCGGACGGAGCCGAGGCGAACACTTCTCATTTGCGTAGGAGATGGCGATTGGTCGCTTGTGGTGGATGATGATTTTGCGTGATCTAGCTAGAGGAAGGTGTGATGGTGTGGCGTAGCCGGCGGTTGTCTACCGCAGGTGTTCAGGAATGCCCGTGCGGCCTTATAGGCTCATACAGCGGGGTGGGCTTGATCGCAGTTGATAGCCAGGACTGGGCAAGCGAATGGCGACTTTAACCATAATCCTAACCTTAACCCTAACCTCAAACCTAAACGTTAACCGTTAACCATAACGGAAACCCAAACCCTAACCGAAATCGCAAACGTAACCGTAGTCCTTAGACACAGCCGTAACTGAAAAACCCAACCGTAATACTGAATCTTAATCGTACCCTTAAACCCTAACCATAACCCGAAAATCTAAGTCTAAAGGCGTAACCCTAACCCGAAAATCGGAAACCATTAACCGATACCCTAATCCTAACCTCAGACGTAAAACGAAAGCCAACTGGGTCAGATGTGATTATGGAGCCTCACAAAAAGCCCCAGTAAACAAACCCCCCGCCACCTTTTAATACGGGTCCTGGCTACCAAATGCGACCTAGCCAGTGGGGGAATGTGCGCTGCAGTGTGGATGCGTCTGATGAATGTTGGTGCTCCAGGCACTGGTTCGCCAGGCTCTGTGCTATGGATCCGCAAGTGACAGACTTGGCAGATGCGTGGGGTGAATGTACAAGGACAGTGTGGACAGGAGGAGTCGGCGGTGTCAGTGTCGGTTTCGGAGAGGTTGGCCGCGGTGGAGCTGCTGATGGTGGACGCGCTTGGCCACAGGATATGGACTGAGATGGATGTGAAAGGTGTGCTGAGTGTAGTGTGGCCGGTGGTCGTGGGTGTGCTGAGTGGCGGGGTGTGGGTTGATCTAGACATGGCGAATGTGCTGGAGATGCTAGATGTGTCGCGACTGCGGTCAGTACCGCTCTCGTTAATACGCATGTAACCTAGAAGGTCCATGCGGCGAGTGAATGTGCGGGTGCAGTGTGGACAGTGGGGGCGGATGTGTGGAGTTAATATTAGTGCTCTAGGCACTGGTCCGTGAGCCTCTGTGCGATGGGCTCGCAAGTGATCGACCAGGCTAATGCGTGAGGTGGAGGTGCGGTCGCAACGAGGACAGGTTTGGACCGACTCCACATTGCTAGCTTTGACGATGGTGAGTTTGATGTCTGTTGGTGTGCCAGGTTTGTGTGCAGTGGTGGTGGTAACTGGGGCCGCTGTAGGGGATGCTAAGGCAATGGAGGAGGAAGGGGAGTTGTTGGCGAGAACCCTGGCGAAACCACCGTAGAAGAGTCGTCTGAGTAGTCTCCCTTGGTCTATGCGTACGAGGTGGCCGCTCCAGCACAATTGCGATTGTCTCAACATGGCGTAGGTGCCGAGGATTCCTGTCCATCCCAGTACGTCCGTATCCGATGGACAATGCAAATGCCTCTGAGACGACTCTGTTTTCCGTGACGCGCGCCGCATGCCATCGTGGAGCAGACGCACCATCTGAGAGAATCGCTCTGGACAGCCGAATTTCGACATGATTGTCCAGTCCTTCTCGATTCACCGTATCGAAAGCTTTCATAAGATCCACGAAGATAAAGTACAGGTGGGTCCGCATCTCCTGGAACTTCTGCCGCAGTTGGCGAGCAACGAAGATCATGTCCGTGGTCCCGCGATGACGGCGGAAGCCGCACTGACTTTCCGGCAGGAATTCTTCTTCCAGGTGATTCTTCAGGCGGTTGAGAAGGATGCGAGCAAAAATTTTCCCGGCGATGTTTAGCAGGCAGATGCCTCTGTGGTTGTTGCAGACTTGACAGTTCCCTTCGTGCTTGTGGATGGATGATAGTGGCATCCTTGAAATCCTGCGGGACTTCTGCTCGACGCCACATTTCCTGGAAGAGCGCGTCAGATGTTCCACAAGTTGAGTCTACCGTGCTTGTAGATCTCAGCAGGGACCGCGTTTAATCCAGGCGCTTTCCCTCTGGAGAGCTGTTGCATGGCCCTGATGGTTTCGTGGAGAGATGGCGGGAGATCGAGGTCGACGTTGGCTTCCACTTGGGGCAGGCGGGCGATGGCGGCGTCGGAGATGATGAAGGGGCGGTTAAGGACGCTTCTAAGTGCCCGGCCCATCGCTGAAGAATTTGTGTCTTCTCGGTGAGTAGGGTACTGCCATCGGCGCTGAGAAGAGGAGTAGTACCTTTGGCTGTGGGACTGTAGGCAGTCTTGATCGCAGCGACGAAGTCCGTCCGCTCGTTGCGGTTCGCGTACCCTTGGATGTCCTCAGCCTTACGAGCTGTCCAGGCGTCCTGCACCTCCCGCAGCCACTGTTGTAAAAGGCGGCAACCACGGAAGAAGGCTGCTTTGTTGTCGTCGGTGGGGCGATTGACGTATGCATTGTGCAGGCGGTTTTTCTCGGCAAGCAGGTTGCTGGTGTCGACATCGTTGTCATCGAACGAGTCCTGGTGTTGGCGGAGTGCACGACTAACGACAGCCAGGGCAGTCGATTGGACTATGTCCCGCAATAGACACCACCGGTTCTCGACGGAGGCGTTCTCGTCGTCGGCGGCCAGTTCAGACGGTTTCATCTGTGGTTTACACTCCAACACGACAATTTTAAGTGGTCGTAGACTAGAAAGCATATTTAATCGAAATCCATCTCGCAGAAAGGGACATACGCATGTAACCAACCTCCGCGTTGCAAAACGGAGGCGGGATTACTGACCGATTACAATTCACGCAATTCCATAGCGTGATTCCGCATCATTATTACCGCTGAAAGATTACTACTAGGAATACAGCCGATAATTACTGTATATTTCGTGTAGCTCAGTCCATGCTATAAACGGCTCTGGGCTCACCCGGACGTCCGGTTATCCAACGCTTTCATCTATCAACATTCCACGCTTCGATCGCTTGCCAGACAGGGAACCAAACGTAATTTTTTCGCTTAAGAAGCCCTGCAGCAGACCCAGTTGTTTGCAAGCAACGCTGCATGCCCATCTGAGCCTAATGGGGTGTACTGTACGTTTAAATTACAACAGGCGCCCTCCAAAAAGACAATCAGGGTCAGGGTTTTGGCTAACCGCGAATTCAACCAGAACTGCAACCGGTACCTCCATTAAGCGCTGGAAAACACCCATCTTCAGAAGATTTTACTATCCCCTGTATGTTCCCCACCATTCTCGAGAGCATAAAAATCACTACTCTATTCTCATTGTGGTTTCCAATGATCTCATTGTTTCCAATAAGTCCCTAAATGGGTCCGTTTTGCTCTGGAAGAGGTGCAGCAACAGATCGGGTGCTCTCCCCTGCAGCGGTGAAGAATAAGCCCTGCAGGCCCAAGGACCACCTCAGTAGGCTAACTTATAATGACGTGACAACTTTCGGTTGAAAAGCATTTTGTCTCCTGTTTGACAGGGAGGTAGACTTTAGAGCATCAACATCAAAATCATCAAGTAAGAGCGCGCCTACATCACCTTAGTCAGACGTCATGGGCGGCACGCGATTTCCGGGCAAGTCTGTCGGTTCTGTCCAGGTTGATAGAAAGTTTGCACTTCTCACTCAAGAGAAAGCTATCAGAAAGCGGTTGTAGGGATCCTTCGGCTTTCACTCACCTTTAGTCCGTACGGCCAGCTATTCCTAATCGTAGAGGACCGACCAGAGTGGTGCACGATGTACGTGATATATATTTTATGGCCCGACCGTCAGATTCACTCCAATCAGAACGCAACCGTAAGACTTCAGATGGATAAGGTGTTTCGACTATTTCATTTCGTCACATGGGCGATATCCATTAACCGTCAAAATATGCCATCGGTAGTCAGCGAATCAAATCTCACAAGTGAACCTCAGTTGCAAGTACTGGTTGCTTTAACTAATACCCAAACGCCGAAAGGTGAGTCCTCTTACATTATCGCTTTAGTCCCAAATGAGATCACAGGAGTCGAGTAGGTTTCCGTTAATGATTATCGGGGTAAACAGATCGGCACACACCAGATACCTCAATTATCCAGCTTTCATTAGCCAGGTCAAGCCGTCCAGCCAATCAAATATCTGTACGCACAGCCGGTAGAGGGCCAAAAGATGCCCGCTTGTTTTCATCAAAGCGGAGTCCCTGTGCAGCGCGGACTTATGCACATAACCATCCTGCGATCCAAAGAGGATGAGCAACAGCTTTGAGAGCAGAAAACAGTACTTCCTTTTAATTTTCGAATACTTCTTCCTACGCCGAAAACAAAGGAAATTACGAAAAGAAGACATACACAAGAGCATCAAGGATTGCGCGTTCGCTGTGACATACAGTAACAAAAAATACGTCTACATACGCATCAACCCCTACCAAGGAGCGTTTAAAAATCATAAACAAAAATCATTCCTGGAGAGAGTTATAATCTGGCCCCCAACTCAAAGGGTACTTAGGGAAATATACTGTGGCAGTGGCGATGATGGGAGAAAAAAAAGAGTAGGGGGAAAGAAAATGATATGCTGGAAAGAGCAAACAAAACATATCTAAATTAGAGGAGAGCCTTTCAATGATGAAGAGCTGCCTGGGATATCCTGGGCGGTGATGAGGCGGCGATGGTTGTAAATGACCATTTTGACAGGCGGAGGGGGGGGGAGGACGGGCGTGTCATGTTGACTAGAATAAAAACCGGCGCCACGGAGACATTAACCGACAGTGGAGCGTACGAGGGAGGGTGCCGGTCCAAGGTCCCCATTGGAATTGCAAGTGGTCTTTGAGGGATCGTCATTAACACCTTCCCCACCCTCCTCGTTATTCTCCTCAGTCCTGACTTCCTCAGATGTAACCTTTCCTGTTTCTGGATCGTCCACTCCTGGCTGTTGTTGTTGCTGATGCTGCTGCTGCTGTTGTTGTTGCTGTTCTAGTTCCAGGCGATCACGGTACTCGGCCTCGCGTCGATTTAGGTCGTCCATTGTTTGCATCACCGTCACCCGACACTTCTCACGTAGGTGTTGGATGCGTGACCGAGGAAGGGAGCCGGTCAGCTTGAACATGGCCTAAAGATCGCCATTGTGAGACACTTTGAGACTGTGCACTATGGGAGTAGGCATTTAGGCAGACTGGAATAATACATTTTACTCAACTATGAAAAACCCGGCAGCCTCAATGAGCTGTGAACCCAGGAGATTAACGGCAAGGATTGGGTACAGCCGGCGTCCTAACCACCTGAGCTAGGAGTTGCTGACGGTGAGCTGTGAGTAGTATTAGTCATAGTAGGAGATACTTTTTGTCTTCTCTCATTCGAAAGAATGCTGGCACCTCTCAGCCAGCGGTCGAATCCGAAGCCTTATTTACCATGTTTACACGTGAGGACTGTGAGCTACACTCAAATGACTCCTTTTTGGGAGTAAAGCCTGCTTACCATCGGGCCCGAGACCAGCATGTAAGTGACATGCAGGGGGCTGGAACAAATGGCCAGTCAATCCGCAGTCTCCTCGACACAGTCTCGCCACAAGAACATCACGGGTGTGGAAAGGGGGTGATGCGCAAAATT